AAGCAGATGCGCTCCGACTTCAAAGGGAAACCCCCCAATTAGTCAATTCTTACGACATGCTTGTCGGGGAGGCAGTGGGTCTATTCTTGTTTTCCCCACAATAGGACCCCAGAACCCACACTAGGAATTAGTGGTGATGATACATGGATACTTACAATGATACAAACAATGATACTAACAATGATACAAACAATGAAGTGACGCAAGATGGCGCTGATTTTCGTTTAAGGTCGTCATTTCTACAAGAATGAATGAACCAAGAACTGACTTCTCTGCATTCAGGGCATTCCCACACGTGCTCCGTCTCCTTCTTTGGTAGCCAACGAAGACTTTCCCATACTAATGGTACCTCATGCAACCTGATTAAGAGTCCGTCTGTCTTTTCCATGCTTGCCGGAAACCGCCACGATCGTCTGTCCACTCGCCGATGACTCGATCTCTCGAGGTTTGGATGTCATCGACAAGTCAAAGCACCAAGCTGTGGATTCCTGGGATTTCGCTCCAGCCTGTCCCATTCTGGTTCTAAAGTGGGCATTCTGTTAAAATATATGTCGGCTGTCGATTAACAGAGTTAAATATATTCTTTATATTTATCATCATCATCATCGTCATCATCATCGTCAGCATCATCATCATTGTCGTCGTCATCATCGTCATCATCATCATCTTCGTTATCATCGTCATCATCATAATCATCGTCGTCGTCATCATCATTATCGTCATCATCATCATCGTCATCATCAACATCATCATCAACAACATCGTCATCATCGTCGTCGTCATCATCATCGTCATCATCATCATCGACGTCATCATCGTCGTCATCATCATCATCGTCATCATCGTCGTCGTCATCGTCATCATCATCGTCATCATCATCATCGTCATCATCATCGTCATCATCATCATCATCGTCAGCATCATCGTCATCCTCATCATCGTCATCATCATCATCGTCGTCATCATCATCGTCATCATCATCATCATCATCGTCATCATCTTCATCATCGTCATCATCGTCTTCATCATTGTCGTCATCATCATCGTCATCATCATCATCATCGTCGTCATCATCATCATCATCGTCGTTATCATCGTCATCATCATCGTCATCGTCATCTGGCCGCCTCATCCAGGGATTAATCTCTTTGCGTTCCCTTGCTGTTTTATCACTAATCTTGCCAATTATCCCCAATTTCTTGTCTCTTTTCTAACCCCTCCCCCCCCCCCACTCCCAATTTGTTTCCACCTTCTCCCTGTTATGTTCCCCTCCTTTACCTTCTCCCTGTTATGTTCCCCTCCTCTACCTTCTCTCTGTTATGTTCCCCTCCTCTACCTTCTCCCTGTTATGTTCCCCTCCTCTACCTTCTCCCTGTTATGTTCCCCTCCTCTACCTTCTCCCTGTTTTGTTCCCCTCCTCGACCTTCTCCCTGTTTTGTTCCCCTCCTCTACCTTCTCCCTGTTATGTTCCCCTCCTCTACCTTCTCCCTGTAATGTTCCCCTCCTCGACCTTCTCCCTGTTTTGTTCCCCTCCTCGACCTTCTCTCTGTTATGTTCCCCTCCTCGACCTTCTCCCTGTTTTGTTTCCCCTCCTCTACCTTCTCTCTGTTTTCTCCCCCCCCCCCTCCTCCCCACACACACATTCTCCCTGTTTTGTCGCCCACTCCCTTTTTTACTTCAAACCAATATTTTCTTGGTGTCGGTGTTCTTATAATCATCCTCCCCCCCCCTTTTTTTTTCATCCCCCACCCATCCATCTTTTCACTTTCCTAAGCGATACTTTTCCTTTCTCTACCACCCCCCCCCCCCCCTTCTTCCCCCAAATAAGCGAACATATTTTAATAAAAATTAACTATTTAATCAGCCATTCAACTTTTGTTTAATTTTTTTTTAATCCCACTAGGACATCACAAAAGCGATAAACACCCGATGACACAAAGTGTCACCATGTGGATGAGGATCACCGTGGAGAGGTCCCAGAAACCGCGTTCAGCCATTAGACCATATTTATTGTCGGGCGTCTAGCTTCAAATAATGAAAAATTGCATCTCACCGGGAAATGTATGAGAATTTTATATTTATTTAATTGTCTTCCCTTATTCAGTCAGTCATTCGTGTGCATACATGATTCCGTGTTCACAAAATGATCACTTTGTGTGAGAGAACTCAGTCAAGAAATTTATGTTCTGATTTTTCGTTTTCATTCATTTAAGAAACGCCCCGGCTGCATCGTCTGATTAAATCGGCTTTGAATAGCAAAGATTTTTTTTTCCCGAATGTTGCAGGAAAAAAAAATCATATCTATAGTTACGGGGTGGGTGTCGCGTGGTCATGCGTAATTGTACACTTACTTCGAGGCGCCTTCATCACTTGAAGGGGACAGGTTCGATTCCCGGCACGGTAACTATAATGTTCGATGTTTGTGTTGTCTAGTACGTTATTTTATCTCTCTACTTCTGTCTATGAGTGCCAATCAGTTCTTGTATTTTTCACTATCTATAGCTGCAGGCAAGTAATGGAGGTCTGCGTAGACAATAAGACTATTCAACCAAGTCTACTCCAGGGCCAAAATGTTGAAAATAAAGATCGTTACGAGCCAGGGGAAAAAGCCCCATTGTAGAAAGATCAGTTCTGGCAATGATCAGTGGGCCAATTGCTAAGACTTTGCGAGCCGGATTCGGTCCTCGGTCCTCCAGTTGAATAGCCATGATGTAGTGTGTGGTGTAGGCTGGCTGATTATCTGTTTCATTGTTTGGATCTGTGGTTGAAAGAATTGTTGCCTGGCGCAATGGTTGGCTGTTCGCTTAGTTGATTGTTTGGTTAGCTGGTTAATTTTCATATTTTCCAAAGTATAAGAGGCACTTGTTTTATAAAAATATAGGGTCTGAAAACAGGGTGCGTCTTATACAATAGTAGAAGGTTTTTACCAAATGATTCGTCAGAAAATATACCGTGCATGACCTCAATTGGGAATGCCGGATTGTCTGGTTGGTTAACTGTTTGGTTGGTTGGCTGGCTGATTGTTTGCCTGTTTGGTTGGTTGGCTGGCTGATTGTTTGCCTGTTTGGTTGGTTGGCTGGCTGATTGTTTGCCTGTTTGGTTGGTTGGCTGGCTGATTGTTTGCCTGTTTGGTTGGTTGGCTGGCTGATTGTTTGCCTGTTTGGTTGGTTGGCTGGCTGATTGTTTGCCTGTTTGGTTGGTTGGCTGGCTGATTGTTTGCCTGTTTGGTTGGCTGGCTTGCTGATTGTTTGCCTGTTTGGTTGGTTGGTTGTCTGATTGTTTGCCTGTTTGGTTGGTTGGTTGTCTGATTGTTTGCCTGTTTGGTTGGTTGGCTGATTGTTTGCCTGTTTGGTTGGTTGGCTGTCTGATTGTTTGACCCTTTTATTGATTGGCTGTTTGAGTGGTTGCTTGGTTGATTTGTTATAGCACTAACTATGTGATCCTGTTGGTAGTTTTCAACATTTTATTGATAAAATTCCATACCAGCTTTCTTTATTCGTTGTTTTCTATGGGTTTTTCAATAGCTGTCGAAGAAATCCCACTTTGAAAGCTTGTAATGTCTCGTCACACAGAGATTTCTCAACATTGGTCAACGAACGCCTATCCCAACCTTCTGTAATCTCTGTCCTGTATATAGATTTCTCAACATGTGACGAAGAAATCCCACTTACAGTCTGTAATCCCTGTATAATCCCCCACATTCACTCCTCGTCTGGCGTAGTGTGGGCGATATAAACATTCAAGCCTTCACTTTCTCATTGTACGGCCTTCTATAGAAAGTAGATAGGCGATGCCACGGTTCAGGGCGTTGGTTAAGGAATTATCTATCTGTGTATTAAATCGAGCGTTTATGTTGTGCAATCGACGCCCGTGTTATATCGCTGGTACGCATATTTTGTGCAATGCACCCCCTATGTTGTCACTGCACGAGGGACGTACCTTCTCAACCAATAATTTTCTAAGGCAAAAGAGGCGGCAAAAGCCTTGTTTAATTGTACGGTAATAATAAAAACCGTCTATTACTGCTCAATTAAACAAAGCCCGTGACTTTGAGGGTTCATGCCCCTAAAAGATTGTTGGGGTGGGGAGGCTTCAGAAGGCCTAAACCTTGCTGAATTGAAAAATAATAAAAGTAATAATTATTATGATATGCTAAATAGCAAACAAATTTTTTTTTAAAATAATAGGCTATCCTCCGAATAACGGGCACATATTGTGGCGGCCGCAAAAAAACCCCTAACAGAGCCTCAGTCACATGTCAGTTGTGCACTTCCGGCGACTTCATTTGCGAACTTCCGGCGACTACCGCCACCGCCGAGAGTATCCCCCACGCCGCGTGCAGTGGGGCTAAACTAGATGGCTAGGACTCACGAGCAGCAGCTTCCGCATCTCCTGCAGATTTGCTCGTAAGTCCCAGCCATCTAGTTTAGCCCCAATCCACGCCGCGTTAGCGGCGTTAGGGATACTCTCAGCGGTGACGGTAGTCGCCGGAAGTTCGCAAATTAAGTCGCCGAAAGTGCGCAATTGACACGTGACTGAGGCCCTGTTTTTGGCCGCCATAATATGTGCCCGTTATTCGGAGGATAGCCAAATAATATTTAATGGATAAACAAATGTTTAAAAAGAGAATGTTTATATGTAGTGGGCGGGGGAGGGTATCCCTAAAAATTATTGAGTGGACGCTCGCCAAAAATTTTTAGGGGGGGGGGGCGCTCCCAAAAAAATTATGAAAGAGGGCGCTCCCCCAAAACATTATTGAGGGGCGCTCCCTAAAAATGATTGAATGGGGAGTCCGGTTGAACGTGGCGACTTTTTCCCCGGCAATGCATCAACATTGACCAACAGTCCGCATATAAATAAACCAGATCTGTAAAATAGATGTGCACGCAAAACTCAAATTCTAGAACAAGACTGGAGTTCAGAAATGGACGAACAACTAGACCCGTCTACTGGAGTTTACAGACAGCAGAAAATGTTAGAAAAACTCAGTCTTACCATAATCATCGCGGGCTAGGGTTGAAGGCAACTGGTCGGAACCCGAGAGGGGAATACACTTTGGCTGGTAAAATATTAGTTCTCGTGAGAGTTCCTGAGGCAACTGTAACAGTTTGTGGAAAGTTCTCACTGTTCACAATCTGGGAATCAGATTTAGTTATCGTGTCTGTTGATGTGTTGACTTGATGTCCCGCCAAGGTTGGCAACTGATTAATAGTAATAACGGATTTAGTTGGGTTGACCGTAACGGATGCTTCTGTAGATGGCAAAGACGCGCTGTGTGGAGGTTCGGAAAATGTTTCAGTAACTTGAATAACAGTAGTGTCTTTTTTATTGTTGAATGATGATGCATCCTGAGAATATTCAGGCGTTAGTGATGGATTGTCTGTGAAGTTCTGAAGTTGCTGGGAAATTGTTGTAGTTTCGTTGCTATTGAGTATTTTGTGTGGCGGTTTGTTTGACTGTCCAGGCTGTTGGCTTGGGGTTATGTCTGCGATCTGCCATTTTAGCTTTGATGTATGGTCGTTTTGGGAATTCTTGTTTCTCAATAAACTTGAAAGATCGGCGTTGTTTATTGCTACAGGAAACGACATTGGGCGAGGGTTTTGACCAGTGAGAGGTAGTGTTGATGTCTTGTAGCCAACAGAATTCAGTAACACCGCCCATTCGTGGTGATTGGCGGGAGGTGGCACACCAATCATTCTCATGTATTGGCCAAGGTAAATAAGTTCTTGTTGTGTTAACTTAGGGATTGTGTGGTTGGTGAATCCGTCACTAAACCCGCCCCCAGACAGAAATGGTGGCACATAGTTGACGTTTGTTATTGCAACTGGAGAAACTGAATGACCAATAGCAGTCGTGGATAAGGATGGCAAGTTGCAGCTCTGTTGAACACCAATAATGTTCTGAAAGTTGATTGGACTATCCAAATAGCCAGTCTGAAGAAAGGAGACATTGCCATTGGCAAGGTATTGAAATGGTAAAGATAGCTGGTTAGCATTTACATAGCCAGTGTTACTTCTTACAGTACTGGAGGTCTCACCTAAATTGTTTAAAGGGGTTAAAATAATAGGTTGATTACTGGAACTGACTTCCGTAGATGATGAATTCAGGTTATTTGCAGGACTGTTATTCAAAGGGAATTCTGTTGTCTCCGAGTTGGACTTGCTCAAAGAGAACATTCTGAAGTCATTGTTGTTCGTCTCATTGGCAGTCTGAACGAGAAGCCGTTGTTGTTGCAGCTTTCTGATTTCTTCGTGTGTCACCTCCTTCTGAAGCCGCTGCAACAGCTCCTTATCCTCGAGATCTCTCAGACGTCTGAAGCTGTTTTCTATCTCCTGACGTCGCAATATTTCAGATTCATACTGCAGCTCTTTTTCTGCAATCATCTTAGCCAAGACAACCTCTAGTTTATTGTTCTCCTGCTTTCTTGAGGCTGACTCTTTCATATCCTGCTTCTTTTCTTTGTGGGATTTCGACGAATATTCATGAACCTCTCCAGCATCCTCCATGGCGTTAGCATTCACTTTCAAGTAAGGATTTTCTCCACGATATTCTCTTTGAGCTGCTCCATGGTATTCTGCAGTAACTATCTGTCTCTTGGAGTTCGCTTGCTCATCGCCAGTTCGCTTACGCACAATCTCTCTTCCCTCAGCAGATTTCGGTCGGCGGGAGTTTGAGTCTCTCTTTGGAAGATCGTTTAAACCTCCAGCGAAATCGATATCACCGAGATCGTCTTCTGAATGATCTGACACGTCGGAATGTTCTAGAATGTTAACGGAACGCTGGTTGAAGAATCCATCACTAAGAGTGCGTCGATGTAAGGATTCATCCACACTACGAGATAATGTCCAGTTGGGATTCCTGAAGGATGCGGATACATCGTTAGAAAACTCGGCCGATCGTCTGTAAGAACTAGAGTCTGTGTTGTCCTGCAGATCCTGTGATTTTTGCTTGTTTAAAATTGTCCCTGATGCTTTGCTTATGGACCCAAAAGCGTTTTTCACGCCTTGATGGACATTCTTCTTAAACTTTCGGAGACTACCAAATTTAGACTTGTCGTTTGTAGGAGAGATGTCAGCTTCTTTCGTGTCTTTTCTTTTCTTGCTTCTCTTGTGGCTTTTGTTCTTTGTGGTTTCGTAGAGGTCTCCGACTTTAGGAGGCACTACTGATACTTTAAATCCTTCAGATGAAACTTTTCGTTCAGTTTTGACGTAACTGCTGTCCATAATGTCATCCTCGGAATCTAGGTCATGCTCGGGTGCCCAGTCAGGGGAGAAGACTCGCCCACTTGCATTGGAACTGCTAATGCTCATGTTCTCTGACTGTATGGAAGATCGTTTAGAAAAGTCGACACTCATAGAACTGGATCGGTCCTCTTGATCAAGACTGTTGTCTAGCTGTGGTAGTTTATCGATGTATTTGTCATGTGAACTTGCTGCAGGGGCGGCTTTCCAGAACTCAGCACTCTTGATTGAGATGGTAGTCGATGATCTGTTTTCAAAATCAGACGATACCAAATTCTTGGTTTCTGCAAGAACAGCTGGGCGTAGGATGCCTTTCTCTTCGTGGGTGTGTAATATGTAGTTTTCTGATCGTACTGTGTTGCTAGCACTATCGTTGTGTTGGGCTACTTCTGTCGTAGTTCTTGCTGCTTTTTCTGCTAGAGACTCACTAGGTGGACTTTTCGGGAGGTTAGAAGTTGTTTCCCGGATTTCAGATTTAGTTTTTCGAGCTAAGGCCGCAAAGATTATGTCCTTTTGCAGCAGAGGATCAATTCTTTTAGTGGTTTCTTTGTCTTCAGGAAAGATAGTGGATATGGTATGAGATACCACATTCGCTTCTAATGAGCTGTCGTTTTCTGAATGATGTGGCTGTACCCGTTGTAGTTCAGACTGATCCAGTTTTGTTTGGCGTACGTCTGTCAGAATTTCTTTCCGCTTTATATTTTCAGTCTGAGATGGTTCATATCCACTGGCTTCTTTTGAGACTCTGTCATTGTTTAGTGCTGTTTCTGTTTCTACAACGTTAATCAGATCTGCTAAAGCATCTTCTGAATCACCAACAGAAGCATTGCTCATCTCGTTCTTTGTGATCATAGCTTCTGTTGACGCAGGTTGATTCAGAATATCTCGTAGTTTCTTCATCGCTTCTATCTGCGCTTTTGCCTGCGCGATGCTCTCTTGAACCAGAACGGTTGACTTCACGGCAAGTCCAACTGTGGATACTTCAGGAATTTGACCTTTAACGGGTGCAGTTCTAGGAAGTGTGGCAGAAGACTCTGGTAGATCCCTAGCTGACAGAACTGTTGGGCTTGCAGTCGATCCCGGTTTTGATAAACTGACAGTGGACGTGCTTTTGAGAAACGGTTGAGGAGCTGGAGGTTTGGAACTTTTAGAAGCTGAGGATATACGCCTTTGCAAGAACTTGGCCTGCTGCAGATAATTTACAGCCGGACTGTCTTTTGTGTCGTAGTCAGGTGGAGGCTCAGTGGTTACAGAACCGATCTTGGTCGCGGGCTGTGGTACAGGGGGAGCCGGTGCCTTCTTCTTCTTAGACTTGCTGATGCCTGTATCCGAACTGCGGGTGCTTACACTGTGGGTGCTGCTCCTGACACCACGGTTCTGAAGATCAAACGGCGATTTGGGTACATTACTGCTGGCGCTGATCTCTGCTTCCAGCTCTCCCAGCATCTTTCCGGTTCTTTCTTCGAGTTCACTGGTCCTCTTAATTCTCCGATACTCGGCCAACTGTGCGTAGGTGAGCTGCATTGAGTAGTCTATATCAAACGAGCTCTTTACTGGCAACGACGTCATGCTCGGCTCGAAGTTGGAAAAGGGCACATCCCTTGCTGGGTTGTACAAATGCTCTCGTGGATCCTCCGGGATTACGTGTTCTTGGATAGGATTGCTAGCCAGGGATATCTGACGTTTATGTTTTGGCAGATTAACCGGCTGTGATGCGGACAACCCCATGGAATGAGAACGCATTAAATTCGAAGCCATGTTAACATTTTTGTTTGGCGTAGTACCATCAAAGTCTTCATTGTAGCGATCGTTTACTGGATCGAACAGTGTGGGCCTGTTCTTATACAAGTCTGAAATGTCTTCACTTGAGATGGACTGCTTACGAAAGTGACCTGCTCTATCGTTTATGATCGTTTTGTTGTCCGCCAGGCTTCTTGACGCGTTGAGCGACACAGAAGAGTTCTCTTTGTTATCATTGCTCACGTTCAGACCTTCGTCTATTGAAGAACTGCCTCCGTCCAGAGCTTCATTTGATGGCTTCTGAAATATATCCGCAAATTCAGGATGAACTTTAGAAAGTTCCAGCGACACAGGTCGTAGAAGTTTTCGAGCACGGCTCATGTCGTTGACTCCACTGGGAAGAACTTTGTTCTCAGCCACGATATACGTCGGGGACTTGGGAGTCGGTGCCACAGCTGGTGCCACAGCTGGTGCCACTGCAGCTGGAGCAGCGATAGGAGAAGATGGCTTGTGGTGACTTCTGCGGCTGGAGAATAATGGCTGGGTTGAATTCTGAAATGCCGTTGATGATGAACTTTGACCCATTGTTTGCGATAGGGTTGGTTAAACTTTTTTTTAAATCTAATACAAATACATATTTACGATTACTGTCAACATTCCAGAATTACTGGATTAATAGCAATCCACAGCTGGATAATATCCATATGATTCATGGTAGGCCAATCATTAGAGAGTTATCTGAAACAAGACAAAGAAATACATGTTAGACATGGATAAGCCATTTTCTGAAGACGGGTGTGTTGGGTTGAAATGTACTTATATCGAAGCCTAGATGTAAACCACAATACAATGCGCTAACGTCCTTCTAAGGACGAATACAGAACATAACCCGACACATCTACTTTCGCAAACCAAAGGACCGAACTTTTAGAGCGCAATGCAAATTAATTTAATTACTTTGCCACCAAGCACCCTGTGCGCTAGATCTCATCTGCCTGCTCCAAGGCCAAAGGTTCAAATCCTCATGATCCCCGTGTGGGTTCCGGGGCCCCATTGTTAGGAAAACAAGAATAGATCCACCGCCTTCCCAGCAAGCATGTCGTAGGAGTCGAATAACGGGGACTTACTTCAAAGTCGGAGTACATCTGCCCGAGCGGGAAAAAACAATCAATTGCACAGAAATAAGTCAGTAAAACAGATTTACACGCACAACTCAGACCCGGGCACGAAGCCAAAGTCCAAATGGACGAACAACCAGGACTTTCCGCTAGAGCTTACAGCCGGTGAATAAAGAAGAAGAAGACATCCACATGGAGGCAGATGTGATTTTAAAAAATGACTTCGACTCCCAATTCTACCCAGCCTAAAAAGCAATGAGAAGTAAAGGCGATCGGCATGATGTTGGCCTCAAGACATTTTTTTTTTTTTTTTTTGCCTTAGCGATCACCCCTGCAAAAACCAGTGGCAAGTTATGGTTGTTCGTCCACTTCTGGGTTTAGTCGTGTTAAAGAACTTGAGTTTTGCCTGCACATCCATTTTACACATTAGGCATACATGTCTACAGACTGTTGGTTCCTCGCCTCCCAGACTGCGACTGCGAAGGAAACACCACTATTTGTTGAAATTTACGAGATACCTTTGGAGCCTAATCTGTCGCCCAGAAAATAGGCTTCCGGGGCACACAAGAAAAGGTTACTATAAAAAACATAAAAGTAAAGTAAAGAACCCTTTTCCACGCCTTTCATGCGTATTGGGTATATAGGGCTAGACCTATATTTTACTGACCGATTTGCACTTGGTGGGTGATGTGGTCAGCATCATGCCGGCCGCCTTTACTTCCTAGGACTGCACCTGGTACCCACTCAAGGCTGGGTCGACCTGTGAGACAAGGTCATTTTTGAAAAAAAGTCCGACCACCGTCAGGAACCGAACCCACGACCTTCCGATCCGTAGGCAAGCATCTAGCCTCCAGACCTCGGCGCCTTAAGTATAAATAACATGATATAAGGTATTTGGCCAGGGTATGACTAATCTATGACGTGAAAACTAAGCAACAAAAAGAATAGGCTACAAAATGCAACCAAGCGCGAAACAAACTTGTATGCAAGAAATATAAAATATGCAGACAAGTGGAATAGAGCTAGAGGCGGAGAAGAATTGTTGGGGGTATCGGGGAGGAAATCGAATATGCTGTAAAAGGGGAGGCTAGGCGCGGGGTTGTTGCATGGTTAAGCTAACTTGGAGGAAAGGAAAAATGAGAAATGCAGAATAAATTGAAAAGGAGGGTGAGAAGCGAGATGAGATAAGGAGGAGATTATGAAGTAGTGGTATTTGTGGGGATAGTAGTAACAGCAGTAGTAGTAGTAGTAGCAGTAGTAGTAGTTGTAGTAGCAGCAGCAGTAGTAGTAGTGGTGATGATAGTAGTAGCAGCAGCAGCAGTAGTAATAGTAGTAGTAGTAGTAGTAGTAGTAGTAGTAGTAGTAGTAGTAGTAGTAGTAGTAGTAGTAGTAGTAGTAGTAGTAGTAGTAGTAGTAGTAGTAGTAGTAGTAGTAGTAGTAGTAGTAGTAGTATTGGCGATGGTGGTGAAAGTGGTAGCAACAGCAGCAACTGTAGTAGCAGCAGCAGATGTATTTTAGTAGTATTAGCAGAACCAGTATTATTATTATTATTAGTTGTAGTAGAAGTAGCAGCAGCAGTAGTAGTAGTTAGAGAAGTATTAGTAGTAGCAACAGCAGCAGCAACAGCAGCAGTAAGAATAGTAATAGTAGTTGCAACAGTAGTTGTAGCAGCAGTAACAGCAGCAGCAGCAGCAGCAGCAGCAGCAATAGTAGTAGTAGTAGTAGTAGTAGTAGTAGTAGTAGTAGTAGTAGTAGTAGTAGTAGTAGTAGTAGTAGTAGTAGTAGTAGTAGTAGTTGTTGTTGTTGTTGTTGTTGTTGTTGCAATGGTAGCAGTAACAGCAGCAGTAGCAGTAGTAGCGACAGTAGTAATAGTATTAGTAGTGACAACAGTTATCGTAACAGCAACAACAGACTGGCAGCAGCAGAAAAAAAAAGAAGACGGAGGGTTAGGAAAAGAAGAGGAAACGAAGAAGAAGAAGAAGAAAAAGAAGAAGAAGAAGAAGAAGAAGAAGAACAAGAACAAGAACAAGAACGAGAACAAGAACAAGAAGAACAAAAAGAGGAGGAGAAGAAGAAGAAGAAGAAGAAGAAGAAGAAGAAGAAGAAGAAGAAGAAGAAGAAGAAGAACAACAACAACAACAACAACAACAACAACAATAAGATGATAATTACTATGATGCTGAAACAAACTACCAACTATAAATACTCAAAAACAGGCTAAAAAAGGAGCACCCCCTCCTTCCCCCCCCCCCCCACCCCCACCACCCACCCCATCAACATAGAGAAATAAAAAAAAAATTTAAAAACACACACACAAACAAGGTAAGAAACAGCAGAAGTCTAATCTATAGTTCTGTTGTATAAGTCTGCGAAAGTTCACACGGGAAGTGGCACACAGCAAAGGCACAACCTGAAAGGTGACACATGAATGCAGTAACAAGAACGGCCAATTCAGTTGGGAAGACTGTAAATTTGTAATTCAACATCTGTTTCAATGCAACCCTTTAAAAAAAAAATTAATTGATGCCTTGTTGGTTAAAAAATTAACTTTCCCACTAATGACTATTGGCTGAACTTAGTTAGGGTGCTGCCTCGAAAAAATGTTAGTCATTGTTTTAAAAATGAGTAAACAAAACAAAATAAATATAGAAAATTTACACCCATAAAAGTGAATTCAGAAAATTATAAATAAGCTAAACTGTAAAGTTCAGACTTGGCCAAGTCTTCTGAAAGCGAAATCCATTATCTGTGTTGTACTTTGCGAGGAAAGATTAGTGAAAGAGGGCCGGCACTGCGTTTGCGACAGTGCCCCTCTGCTATATGCGCTGGTTTTGGTGTTGGGACCGTAAGCATGCGCCCAACCCCCCCCCCCCCCCCCCCAAAAAAAAAAAGGACGAAAACCCCAACCCACCTACGTCCCACGAGAGAGTACAGCCTAGGTCCCACGACTGCCTGCAGCCTATCAACCACCCCGTGAAATATTGGACTGTCCCGTGACCTATGGATTTCCTCTGTTTAGGGTAGGATATTAATACAGCACCCCACAGTAATTAGCACACACACACACACACACACAACGGTAACACACTAATTAAATATTCAGTGTTATAGGAAATCCAATAGTTATACATACAAACACAAATAAGTGCGTGGTGTTGTTATACCAAGCAAACAATGTAACAAAGTTGTAACAGCGGAATGTAACGAGGCTAGAACCTAATCTCGAAAGAATTATGTTACCTAATTAACTCCCCTCCTTGTTACAAGTCAAGATTTCAACGACGTCAATTATAAATTTATTTATCTATAACTTTGGATTTGAAACTGAAACCAAATTGTTCTTACAACGAAAGACGTACTTTCAAAGGTTGAAGATCACAGTACTCGATTTTGAGGCAGACATTTCCTAGTTTTCACCGGGCAGACGAAATCTGGGTACTTCAGCACTTTGATGGCTCACTCACCCCCAACAAAAATTGTTAGGGAATGAAGCGACCCCCTTCCCCAAAACACACACACACACACACGCACACACACACACACACACACACATACACACACACACACTTGCAATCCACTACTATGGAATACAGGTTACATATATTTATATTACGGTTTGAGATTAATTTTGTCATATCTCACAGTACCTGTTGCAAACTCACCAATTCGTCTTGTCCCTGTTCGATAACATCCAGTAATACGTGCAGCAGGGGAAACGAACCCTGAGCCTCATGAACTCAGGTGGGCCCACTCTCTGAAAATGTCTAGGAGCTCGTGGGCCGAAACATTTGTCTACGAGAGATTACTTCTACTGATGATTGGTAGACTGCTGCTGTACATGCTCCCCTGTGGAGTTTTTTCTTATTGTTCGTATTCCATAGGTGTGGATTTCAAGTGGTGAGATAGACATGGCCACTGAAGATACCTTTCTTTAAGAGTGCCAAGTTCGTCATGTTCTTAGTGCAATTGTTTCCATAGCTATTTGAGTTGACAGGTTCGAATCCCGACACGGTAACTATAGCTTAGTAAAGATTTGTATGTTGTTTCTTCCTCTTTCTATGAGTGCCAATTAATAGATTGTCTGTTTGTTTATCATATACATACACTTTTTCTACGGCCTCGAGAGCTCCTCCTCTGACTATATCTATGTACAAAGTACGTCTGAAGGCATGCACAAGGGTCCTTTAGGATACTTACATGTATGGCCGAGTGGACTTAAAAAGACAAATCGATACTTAAAATCTATTTCGATAGGGATACGACCTTACGAGCACCGGGTGGACAGCCAAGCGTGCTATCCATTGCGCGACCTTGCATTCTCATCGTCTCCTTATAAACATGAACCTATCACCTTGACAACATAAAGATAACCGAGCACCAAGTTTCGGTCTGAAATTAACAAAGTGGATACGCCAGTTTTAAGAATCTTCTCGCAGTAACTGTGTCTTGTTTTCGTACGTTATCGTA